GAGAAAGAGAAACAAATCTACCCTATACAGGTTCAACGCGCATCTTCTCGTGGATATCCATCACAACTTCCAGCAGCTCGGGGAAGATTGACGGTAAGAGTAGTTCTAGTATTCCGTAAGCAAGTTGCTTCAAACATACCGTTGGCTACAAAATTGAAAATTGTCAAATTACTGGAAGACGAAATAAAAATAAAATGGCTTAATGTTCTCTCATTGCACGTTCAGTACACAGTATTAAAACATACTGCACAGAAAAATAGACAGATTTTAACTTTTTTACTTTCTTTAATAGTGTCCAACGATACCTAATACTTTCCTTGCTCTTGTTTGTAGGTGCTGGGGTCAGGGCTCGGGGTAGGGCTCACCTGAAGCAAATAATAGATATCTCTAGCGTAGCGTCTATACTGCCTCTGCCCAATCAAGTTAACCAAAGTAGTGGGAGCACTATCTGCCAAAGAAGCAACATTTTTAAATCAACGGCTCAATCAAATAGTTATCATAATTCCAGAACTATGAGCACGAAAATTAAGGAAGACATTTCATAGGTCTTCAAGGAAATAAAAGAGCAAAATAATAAGAAGAAACAAATCGCGACCCAGAAACTCCAAAAGAACTTCATAAAAAATTATAAAATAAGAACTGAATAAATTACAATCAAGATCCTCTTTTGCTCAAAACACGTATCAAGAACATCATATATAGGATATGTAACCAGGGGACAAGAAAAACTCACTGAAGATTATTTTTTTCACATCGCTAGCCCTGCGGGCAGCTTCAAGCTGTTCCTCAAACGTTACTAGTCTAGAGACCTTACTTCCACCTTGTTGCCTCATAGTTCTTGGAGATCCCTCATTTTGACATTCGTCAAGTTCAGTTCGAGTATTTAACTCCCGAAAAATGTACCATCAGGCCAGAGAGCCTAAACAAGGAGACACAATCAACAAACAGGATCCAGCAAGTTAATATACAACAGGTTCCTGAAAAATGAAATTTTAAAGGAGAGAATTGGTAGATTGGAAGAATAAATGTGAAGATATTTCACTCACATCCTGGACCCATCTTATTCCCTGAGCAATATTATCTTCTCTCCTGAGACAATGAATTTGCCTTAGGAGCCAGTCATCAATGGCATCTTCCATCATTAACTGCAATATTTACTTAGATATCCAAAAGACCTGCCTTCTGCAAGTAACCCCGAAAGGGAATGTTTTAAGGAATGGTATTTCCTTATAGCATGTTTTTCTTCCATGAAAATTCCAAGCAGTTCTATCAATTTGTCACTCTCATGGCAAGCAAAATTGAAAGAAGCGCCATTAATTTTTTTTTTCACTTTCTATGTTTCTAACCAGATTTTCTGTCTGTGCGCACACAACCAGAATTTGTTTCCTCAAATCACCGGACAAATTTTCAAGACCATTGACTCCTACACGAGTTAATTCCTTAATGCCGGCAATTGAAAGTCAAATCTAGTTTATTTATTCAAGAATACAACATTTCATTAGGATCTGTAACATAAAAGTTCAAAATTGCGTCAAACTAGATAGTCCCATCCACAACCAATATAATCTGTTCAGGACCATACAGTAAAGTTAGGGGCTTTTTGAACATTAGCAGAATACAGAAGTCTAAAATTTCTCCATAATAACTAATTAGACAGCCACCCATTGGTCCATTATCCTCGAGTATGATGGCTGTCCCACAAAGTTCTGATGAAAACAGTTGTACAAACCCACTTTGTGTTCGGTTTGCAATATCATCTATTTGAAAAGGAAAAAAGGAAGAGATGATAGTTCCTTTTATGATCATGTAATTCTTTTACAGCTCTCGCATTTCGTATCTCTCCCTAACTATAGATAATCTTCCAAGATCAATTACAAGACATTTTAGAGTGCTTTACAACTTCCACTGTATCAAATTATTAGACACACTTCTATTTATATACAGAAGCAAATATGAACAATAAGAACAAAAATCAATAGTCACAAGAAGTTAATAATGGAAAGTGCATATATAAGCAAAAGAAACAAAATAGCTTAATGAATCTTATTGTGCATTTGATTATTAGCAAAAATTATTTCACACATATAGAAGATAACAAAAGCTAAAATCACCTTAGCCAGCCTCTTCTCTTGAGCTGAAATAACTTGTCAACTAAATTCAGAACTGGAACGCTTAAATTAGGTGGTGTCCACTGCAAGGAAAATACATCAGTTGGGGTTTGACATTACCTTAAACATCTGTTTAATGACATAGAAATAGAACAAATAATGTTTGAGAGGAAAGTGCCTCAGAATCCAGGTTCAACGACTGGGGACAACCTTTAGGACATCGGTTTTAGTCCAGGGAAGCAGTGCGTTTCCCAAGGACACAAAGCAGCCTGCCTAGGACCAGGGCATGATGTAAACCAGAATAACATTTCACTAATAAACTTTTGAGAAATATTCAAAAGTATAGTTGGAATGCTTATGATCAATTTTCTACTCTTTATCAATCATTAAATTTTTCTGAAACCAACTCTTTGCCAAGTCTCAAAATCAATATCACAAACACCCAAAAATTAATGCTTGTTCAGAAAGTTCCTATAGAGGATAATAATTAATGATTAATCAATACACTTTGAAGTATCATCAGGTTCGGCATATGTTAATACAGGTAATAGGAATGAAAATTAAGGACAGTACAAAAATCCAAGCAGCAACATGTTATAAAAGATGCAGCTAAAAATATTGCGCCTCAAAGGAATATTGATGACTCAAAGAAGGATGACTACTAGATGCAGAAGTGAGTAGTGCCAAATCTCTACAATGAGATAATACGCTAAATACATGAAGGGTGAGAGAAAGTGTTTATGTGTAGAGTAGATAGAGGAAGGAAATGGGATTGTAATAATTACTCCAGAATAACTTTGGTCAGTAATCAGAGTAGAAAAAGAAGAATGAAAAAAAAAATGAAAAGAAAACATGTGATTACAAAGTAATCTACCAAATGAACAATACCTCTGGAGGCACCTCTATTTGACCCTCTTTATGAACTGATGTTGATGCTAAACTTGCCTCCGGAAATCTGCTCACACCATGTGATTCAGATTGCACTCTCAAACCACTTGTTGAGTCAAAATCCAAGTTTTGCACATCTTCATTGCATTTAACAACCCTTGGCGGAATCCCATTTAAGTCCAATTCATTGTCAGAATGCCACCCACTGACTTGTGCTGAAGAATCTACTTTCTCTGCCATATGGTTTACATCCTTGTCACCTTCCTCGTTAACAGAAAAACCATTAATTGACTCTGAGGTACTTTGCCTTAAACCCAGTTTGTTACTATCATCAGAGTTCCAATACAAGTTCCTGGTTGTAACTGAAAAAGCCGGTTCATAAGAAGTGGACGGTGAACCAACAACTGTCCGCATTAAGCCACCTTTAATTTGATGCGCAATATCATCCATAGCATCATCCACATTAACTGTTTGATCGAAAGATAACACCAACAATGAGTTAAAGGTACCAACAAAATATTCATACCTATAAAATTTCTTCCTCGTAAGCTCCAAGATAATGTGCTGCAAGCTGCAACTAGTATCTGGTTGAGGCTTTGGTGGTAATTGAATCGGTGCTTTATCTTTCATTCTTCTTGAAGTTTCAGGCTTTTGAATTGGTACTTCTGTCACTAAATCCTTTCTAGGCATGGTACTGCTTTACGACATTTTTTCTTGTGCAACCTGAGGTCTTCTGGCAGTATTCTTCTGGAGTTTCTTTTTGTAGTTTCTTCCAATTGTCCACATGTTTTCAAGATTTTCAGGCATAAGAACTTCTGTTCTTCTCTGGGTTGCGGCCTCAAACACCCGAGCCCAGTCAGAAGACCGGTAGTGGTCAGACTCATCCTGAACCGTATTTGATACTGAACTTCTTGAAGCATGAGTCGATAATTCCTTTTTATCATCATTTCGAAACAGACACTTATCATTCCCTTGGGTGTGAGCAGTTATTTTTTTCCTCAAAGGAGATTCTCTGTTTTGACCATGTGCAGCAGAAATGGCATGATCATGTACAGGTGACTGTTTAGAACCAGCACCCTTAAACCCCTTGTCCTTATAAGCAAGGAAAATATATTCAATCAACTCATTAATATACATGAAAAAAGTGCCTCAAAATGATCACATTCCTGAATGGACATGTAAAATGGTGAATAACATGCATAGTTGAGCAATAATGATGCAAATGTCATCCATAAGGTAGTTTCCAGTGACACGGAACAAGTAGTGTGATCGAATTCGCAAAAACTCGTGTAGACCTTGCTGGAGAAGATAATTACAGACAACGAAATCCCTGTCTAAAAGTTTAATCACAGATCAGGACTAAAACAACCAAGAGCTAATAACATACAATATATTGTATGCTTTACATGAAAAAACTCAGACAAAAAGTTATGAGTTATAAAGAAAAGGGCTACAACTTCCTATAGTATGTCATCAAAATCCATTCAACTAATGCCTCACATATTGTTTAATTCCAAATACACAACATGGTGTCATCAACTGGAATTGGACAAGCTTAAATTTTGTTTATTGAAACCAACACGAACACGAGCATGTTTGGGTGGAAACCATGACTGGAAACATTAGTGAATGGAATACATGAGTTTTCCAGATTGATAATAACCTATTCACAATTGACATTGGTAAAACTGTATAACAGGTGATATATAAACTCGAAAGTAGTATTACAGACATGGGAAGGATTACATAAAACCATGAAATTTATGAATTCAAAACCAATTTATTCGGAATTTATTACAAGCACAAGATAAACCATTGCATCTTAATCTAAACCTATTTCAAGTTTTAAACCTTCAGAGGGGATGCAATTTTCAAGTCAGACAGCAAGTTATGAAACCACATTATTTTCAACTGTTCCAAGTCTTATGAGGGAAGGGCTTTCAACAGATATAGAGCAAATAGTCTAAGATGATCTGTCAAATGTGATTATGGGCTTCATTGATAACATTGAAGGACATGTGAATGCCATTCACGTGTTCCCCAAGGAGGCCCTCAATAATAATAGCATAACCCATAGAGCGATTTACATGTTGCACAAGCTCGAGAGATTAGGTCAAACGATATGCCTCTTTGGTGGTTGTTCTAGTCACAATATAGCTGTCCTTTTCCACTATCAACAATACTTAATTGTCAGAATAGGTCAGCAATAATTGATATTGTAATTGTAACTAGTTTATGTTATGTAATTAACTAGCCGTTAGTCCTAATTATAGGTGATTGTAATTTCCTAAATTAGCCTAGAATAGTAACAATATATAGGGATGTAATTCTATCATCTTATCAATAATAAAATTCAGAGTTTTTCTCTCATTAATTTTCACTTATGATGTCTCCCCCTCTTATAAGCTCTTTGGCTGCATTAGTTTTCATTCATCAGACTTTTATTCTCAAAAGAACATGGTAAAAAAGTGCAGGAGTTATAATCATTTAACTTTTAGCATTCTGTTAGTAGAATTACACTTTCAGAACAACTAGGGGTGAACAGAAAAATCGCTAACCTGCCAAATCGAATCAGAACTGTGTTTTTGAAACCATTGGTTTGGGAATTGCTCGATTTATGTTTCATCATTTCAAAAACCAAACCAAACCCTTTCAAAATGGTTCAGTTTAGATTTCAAGATCAATACTTAAAACCAGCTTGGAACCAAACAAAACCGGTCATCCAATTTAAATAAAAAAATTCTTTTTTTACTCAAAATGCTATTATTAGTTCATGTTTTACTTCAACAATTTTAATTTCTAGTCTGCTTCTATTAACTATTTAAGATTTATGATGTTATTTTTTTTTTTATCTATTTTAAAAAATAATGATTTGAAAGCTTAAATTATATAGTTGAACCTTATATGAATTTATTGTTTTAAATTATATAGTTGAACCTTATATGAATTTATTGTTTTAAGTTTAAGTGTTGTATAGAGATTTCAGATCATTATATATTGTTTCCACTTGTTTGTCAAATATAATTTCTATGTAGCTAAAATCATGGTATGAAATCAAATCGAACCACAAAAAATGATTTAAGTTTGGTTTGGCTTGAAATTTTCCCAACTCATTTAAAATGGTTTGGTTGAAACTTAAAAGTAGTTCAAAAACCGCCCATGCCAAACCATGATCACACCTAACAATGAGAAACCTTGTTTAGATCAACAATTAATTTTAACCACACATTTCATGGGACCCACAATTTTTCAACCACATACTTTATCAACTTTTACCAAAATCTACTAAAATTTAGATTTTAATTTATACCAAACAAAGGCTTAATAGGATGAAATATATAAAAAAGGAGATAGGACATTTCAAGTTGAATAAAATAAGAGAGAAGAAAATTAAAACTATACAATATTAAAATGTGGTAGATATACTATGTGGAAGCAGAAAGGAAATTCTGCTTGTCACCTTTAAAAATTAATGCCCTACTGATGAAACATGAACCTTACAGAGCATAAAAGTATGTTGCACATAGGGAGTGTAGTTTAGTGCTGTGATGCTTGATTCCGGTACAGGTGTCGGGCATGGGTACGTATCTAAGTATTGCATATTTTATTTTCTAAAATGTGGGATATAGAGACATGGTTAAAAAAATTCAAATTTCAAACACAGGTATGTGAGTACTTCTTTCAAACTTTAATTTTATTTTTTAGATTTTATTTTTACTTTGATATTGCAGTATTTTTTGAATTAAAAATGATGAATTGAAAAAAAAAAGATTAATTGTATTATTTGAATATTTTATTAAACTCAAATGTGTGTGGTGTAAAAACAATTACATTATTAGCCCACTCATATCCATATTAAAAATGGCACAGGCTCCAATTAAACCCAAATCTCTTCTCTCATTCCCGTCGTCGTCTTCTTCACAATTTTAGGGTTCCAAGTGAACATTTATAGGTAGCCAACAGATTTACTTTGGACAAAGGATCGTCGGCGCCAACCTACTATTTCTTTACAGACATCTTCCATCTCCAGCTAAGCCAAACTGCAGCTAAGATAAATCTACAAATTTTCTAAAGATTTCTTGTCGGGTCCGAATGAAACTTGAAGAATCAAACCCGCATTCCATACTGCTATGATCCGTGTTGTGTCTTGTCATATCGTGTCGACATGGATACTCCTCCCGGAATGGCGAGTCCGAGCATCATAGGTTTAGTGAAATTAAAATCAATAAACAACAAGACAAATAACATCTTACCTTGGGCTTGCAAAATTCATAATAGGTTCCATTACCAGGCAAGTTAAAAGTTCTCTGGCAATGCACCGAACCAGGGGGCATTGTGCCTCCCTTAGTGATGCAACACCAATAAGATGATTAATAGAAACAGAAGAAAGATTAAAAAAGAATGGGGAATTAAGGGAGGGGATAGAAGAAGAATTCAATAGAAGAAGAGGAGAGATGCGCCATAAGCCACCAAAATAATTATTCATTCATCATCAACTGAAAGTTACAATGCAAAATAGGTTTAAATAGTAAAGCAGCCCTAACGAGCTTGGGCCCGAGCCCATACAAGTCCAAATTTAAATAATAGTCCAAGAAAATAAATAAACGTTGTCCGATATTCTCATCACTTAGTCTTAGAACAACAGCTAAAAGTCCACCCATGAGCTGCTGAAGAACCTATTAATAAAAAGCATTAGATAACATGAAAATTAACAAACGAGACGAAATAAGAAAAAATGATAAGATGCAAAACAACAAAAGAAACGAAAAAAAAGATATATAAAACTATTCCTTCTGTTTAAGAACACTTATACACCTTGTACTTACACTCTGAAGATATCAAAGCAGGATGAAGCTCCATAGAAAGCAAAAGATGGTGTTTTAACCTTTCATCCCGTTCTTCAGAAGACAATGTTCCCATAACACCCACACCAATTGCAGTCTGGTTTCTTCTGAAAAGATCCAGGTGTTAACCAATCAGATCTACTGCATCCCTGGGTGATGGAAAAGACCGGGTTCAATAACTCAAGGAACCATTTATTCACGAACTCACACAACTTCACGATTTCAGAGAAGTACATACTACAGGGAGATAAGTTGTGATTAAGAGCATAATTGGCCAAGACTGACAAGTAGTACCATCTAACAAAGTAAGTTTTGGTGCCAAAAAAATTAACTCTGAAACATATTTGGGGAAAAGTTAGGGGCTCTTCTCTTCGTGTTTTAGTTTTGTAGTTTTGAATTTTGAATTCATTTTGAATTTTATGTTTTGAGTGCCTGTTTTGAAATTGCTGAAAATGCATTCTTTTTGCCATTTTAGAATCATTTTTCGTGTTTTCAATTTTTTCAAGTTTTCTATTGAAAATGCCCAAAACGACAAAAATGTCGTTTTGTATTTTCTTCACAAATTTTTTTTTCGTTTTCAAAAACGAGAAAGAGAACGCGTTTTCACCATTTTGAAAAATTGAAAACAAAAAATGACCCGAAAACGGCAAAGAAAACACACCTTTAGCTTTTAGCTTAACAAAACATACTCTAAAAAGTAACTAAAAAGTACCTTGTCAGCAGGGCAACAAGGTTTACTTCTTTGACTCTTCCAGATACTTCACCAAGGACATCCATGATTATGGCACGTATAAGCTCGGGCGCCTCTTTGTCAGGTGAAATATCAGAATACCATAAATCTATCACAAAATCTTGCAAGAGCTTGTTAA